TTAGTATTGAATAGATCTCGCTTTAAAAGAAGCATGCTCAATATAACTAATTCTGCAGCTTTTTTGCTAGCTTTTGCCTTTCCTCTTCTATTTTCATTTTGCTTTTTTTCTGATTTATAAATAATTGAAGTCACGTGACAATTTTTGTGGTTTATAAATGAGATGCATCATAGTTTCTGGTTTGTACTGTATCAATCAATCTATTATAAACCAGTTTAATGATCAAGCTTAAATAAAACTCGCTCTGAGACTTCATTTAATAGTTTTCATAACTACCTTTTTATCGTGTACGTGCATAATATAATTGCAAATATTATCAATTATATAATGACAGACAATACGCAAGCCAATACATCTATGGTTGAAAATGAACAACAGGTAAATAAAGTAAGCTATACCATCCAGTTTGGCAATATCTCTTTTTGGAATATGAACAAAGCTTGTTTTCTTGTAATATATATCAGCAAGAATATGATCAGAAAACAGGAGTTACTAGACACATAGTTATATTTCCAAATTAGAAAATTAATAGTCTAAACCAGGTTTTAACTAGTTAGTTTAAACCGAATCTCAAGTAGTTCGAGACCTGTTTCTACTAGTTTTCAAATGATTAAAATTTTCAATTTGGAGATCTAAAATGACAAAATTATAATAATTAAATCTGATCAAAATATTCCAAATTTAATCAATTGATCATCATAAATTCGTATCGTAACTGCATATTATATTAGTGAAATTGTAAAAACATCGATACTATTTAATAATTAGTTATATAACCAATTTTTAATGATTTAGTATTTTTTTTTTAATAATTTTTACAATATTAAATTTATAAATAAACTTATTCTTTCATGTTATGCTTATGCCTTATGTTGCAGGCGTAGTTTCGGTAACACAAACCATATATTCAATAGACGTTTGATTTTCGTTAGTCTGATGAGTTCTAAATGGAAAAAGACATTAACTTGCGTTTACTGGACGCAATTTCTCTCGAGAAAGTTTCTCTTGTTGAGCAGCTTTTAGAGCAAGGCGCAGACATATGGTTCAAAGACGAAAAGGTAATTATGAAAATGATATTTTTTTAAAATTATTATTTTTAATTTTTCTTCTTGCACATATAATAGGGAATAAGTCCTTTGCATTTCGCGTGTTCAAATGGCAATTTAGAAATTGTTAAATTATTGCTTCAAAATGGTCACGCTTGGAATGTTGTTGACAATGAAGGAATCACGGCTGGCGAATACGCTAAACGTAAAAGTCATGAGTTGGTTTATGAATTGCTTCTCGAAGAAGGATGTAGAGCTGAATTGATATTAGGTATGTATTCAAAGTTCTCATTCTAAATGTAAAATAAATTCATAATGATTCATGAACAAAAATATTTGGTATTAGGATTACTTTGTTCAAAAACAAAGAAGAACGAAAAGACATCAAATGCTGATTACTTATCACAACCTCTGAAGTATTCACATGATGGAACTAAATTACTTGATTATGAAAACAATGGTGTCATGATGGGATGGGAGAAGCCTTTAATGGATAGACATGCGGAAATCATATGCGTTAAGGAAGGTCTTGATATTTTGAATATAGGATTTGGTTTAGGACTAATTGATACCGCATTTCAACGATACAAACCTCGCAATCACACAATAATTGAAGCTCATCCAGATGTTTATAAATTCATGATGAAACAGGGTTGGAACGATAAACCAGGTGTAAAAATTATTCATGGACGTTGGCAGGACGTATTAGACCAAATTGATACTTATGATGGCATTTTCTTTGATACTTTTGGAGAGTATTATGAAGATCTACGTGAATTTCATAAAGTACTGCCAAATATTCTCAAAACTGACGGAACATATTCATTTTTCAATGGACTAGGAGCCACCAACTCATTTTTTCATGATGTTTATTGTCGTATAGCAGAAATGCATTTGGCAAATGTTGGATTGCAAACTGAATATATAGAGATTCCAATTGATCTTTCTAACGATGAGATATGGGAAGGAGTCAAAAGTCGCTATTGGACATTAGATACGTATAGATTACCGAAATGCCAATTCATGTTAGAATTATAAATATTGTTTTGCAATATTTAATGCAAATGCGTAAGAATATAAACGACTATCGATCCATAAATCTTCAGAATGCAGTTGTTGCAACTCTAAATATATAAAGAAATGCGTTTTACGATTAATGATGACAAGATAAATATATATATATATATATAAATATTTAATAAAAATAGTTCTGACTTTGTAACGTATCGTATAAGTTATCTAAGGGAATTTGAATCGTCTGTAAGCTCCATTCATCATCTTCCAATTTTTTTTTAGGATTGATATTTTCGATAGAAGTCAGATCAATCTTTTTAGAATAAATTAATTAGGATAAAATATTATTAGCATTACTGAGAAATTTTTATTACGAAATACCTCCATGTCGATTATTTTAGTCAATGAATCTGTCAACCCAGGTTCGTAACAAATAGGCTCTGATATTCTTGTTATTTGACCATAATATCCTGTTTCTTCTTGAAGTTCACGAAGCGCTGCGGTTTCCACTGTTTCATTATCATCAATAAGACCTGATGGAAATTCTATACAATACCTTCCAATAGGCGGCCGAAACTGAATCACCAAAACAATTTGAGGCGGTTTATTTCCTTCTCGTGTGATTGCATGTATATCAACGGCTAAAATGAATTATCTTGATAATAAATTTTAAAATATTGTGTGTGCCTTGTTATAAATATTTGTCATAAAACTTTACCATCAATGCTTTTTTTTTCTTTTGAATCTGAATTATTAGATTTGAGATCATGTATTTAGCACAGTCTAATCTGTGAATTTATTTCTATTATTATATTTAAAA